GAGTTGCCCTGCCCCTGTGGCGGGGGATAGGCTCAGTGGGAATCAGTTTTGGGGGCTTTTGTTCTCTGGCAGCTTTCCCTGGCACTTTCTGTGTCTCTTCTGCGAGTCACAGCAGAAGAGACCACTTCCAACCCTCTGCCTCAGAGCAGAGAGACCTCAGTCTGTTCTTCAGTGAGCTCTCCAGCCACACCATCTCCATTTCTGTGTGTGCCGCTATAAACTGCAGTGTCCTGGGTTGTGCACCCCTCCACAGTGCCCCCAGTCCTGCCTCCAGGTTGGGGCACATCTCTGCCCTTTGTGCTTCTAAAACTGCCAGCCGCTCCCAGTTCACCCGTGCCACCCCGCTGCTCAGGGTTTCTGCCCTGGGGGCTGCCCTAAAGTCCTTTCCCTGCTGCTACCGGTCTGCAAGTCTGCTCCCCGTCCCCACCGTGCGAGGCTGTCACTCACTGGCAGTGTAGGGTCCCCACGGACAGGCTCCCTTCTGCTGCTGTTTATCCTCTGATATCTGCCCACAGAATCATGGCTTCCCACTTTGTACCTCAAAACCAACCACCTGCGATATTCTGTTTGTAGAGATCCAGATCTTCTTACATCTCAGGCTGATTTCGTGGGTGATCAGAGTGGTCTGGTAGATATCCAGCTCAATTTCAGGGACCAGTTGAAATAGGGTCCCCTACTCCTCTGCCATCTTTTCCTCCCCCCCAGTACATTTTTTTAAGTAGGGTCTATTTCCAGAGTGGATCTCATCGTGGGGCTTGAACTCACGACTATGAGATCAAGACCTGAGCTGAGGTCAAGTGTCAGACGCTCAACCAGTTTAGCCACCCAGGTGCCTCAATACATTTTTCAGAGTTTTCTGATGGTTATTGCTGAGGGTGTCTTGCAACTATAATAAGAACCACAAGGACCGGTCCAGTCACAACACTGGTAAATGATATGCTGAGACTGGCTCTCACACACACACAGAACATGTATCCGTATTTATGGTATCATACAGAGTATTTTCACTGCCCTAAAAATCCTTTGTGCTCCACCTATTCACTCCTCTCACTCCCACTCTACCCCCTGGCCACCACTTATCTTTTATTCTGTGTCCATAGTTCTGCCTTTTCTAGAATTTCATGTAGTTGAATTACATGTAGCTTTCTTCACATAAACTTTCACTTAATAACATGTATTTAAGGTTACTCTATGTCTTTTCATGGCTTGATAGCTCATTTCTTTTAAGCAAAGAATAACATTCCATCATCTGGATACATTGCAATTTATTTATCCATTCACCTACGGAAGGCCACCTTGGTTCTTTCCTGTAACTTTCTTGATTGCTGGTTGTGGCTAAATTTGAATTCCTCTTGTTCCCAGTTCTACAGTGTCTTCAGCTTCATGGAACAAGGAAACCAAACCCAAATGTCTATATTTATCCTCCTGGGACGTTCAGAAGAGGCAGAGCTGCAGCCTCTCCTCTTTTGGCTGTTCCTGTCCATGTACCTTGTCATCTTCAGTGGGAACCTGCTCATCATCCTGGCCATTGTCATGGACTCCCACCTCCACATGCCCATGTACTTCTTCCTCTCCAACCTGTCCTTTGTAGACATCTGTTTCACCTCCACCACCATCCCCAAGATGCTGTGGAACATCCAGACACAGAGCAAAGTGATCACCTATGCAGGCTGCCAAGGCCAGATGTATTTTTTCATGCTTTTGGCAGGATTAGACAACTTTCTCTTGACAGTGATGGCCTATGACCGGTTTGTGGCCATCTGTCACCCACTGCACTACATGGTCATCATGAACCCCAAGTTCTGCGGCATCCTGCTTCTGGTATGCTGGGTTTTGAGTGTTCTGGACTCTCTATTACAAGACTTAATGGTTTTG